GTCAATCCTCTCGCTTTTTTTTTCCACCACACCTCCCTCCCCCCTCTGCCCCGCCCTGCCCCGCCACCAGCACCAGCCAGCAAGCCTCTGCTATAATAGACCTTGAACTACAATTAATCCTTCCCTGCTCGATTTGCCAATAGTGATTCCACAGCTCAATGTGAATAACAGGTTCTGGCTTTGTGGAGGAACCACACACCAGGACTGCAGAGCAGGGAACGTGTTAGGGAGACTGAGTGATTTAAGATGATGTACCGTGTCATTAAAGGTAAAAATTACTGCGCCGTTATGGCCTCGGTACAAGACCGGGCTGTTAGTCTTGACATACTTATTTTTCCTCAGCCACCATTAGCAGGAAAACAAGACTCCTCAGCCACCATAAAGCACTTTTATTGCTGCGACGTTTCCCGGTTTAAGAAAAGGGAATTATTCTCTCTCCTGATATTCTGCTGCATATTTGTTTCCATCTCGGAGCGGGAGGACGGACCCGGCCAGCGCAGGCCGGCCTGTAATCCCTTTATGGAGGCGCACCCGCTTAAACGGAGAGCGGGGCTGGAGATGGAGCCGGATAGCTCGCAGCTGTGAGCTGGGGCCTCGGCAGACTCTGTGGAAGTGCGACGGGGGGGGGGCATGGCAGTATTTAAATTAGGCTGCAAGAGGGATTTCATTAGTTGTTTATCTCGAGCCTTTGAAACCCTTAGCAGCTTATTAAAAAACAACATGCACGCCAGCGCGGGCCGCGGGGCTCGCAGATCAGGCCGCTCAGACGACGCGGTACGACAGCCGTCGCCGTTCCCGCGAGCCTTTATGACGTGCCCCCCCCCCACCGCCGCCAGTTCCCCTATGGGCTGCAGCTTCATCCAGCAGGGCAGTGGCGATGCGATGTGGGGGCACACATGCCACGCAGCCTGGAGGAGAAACACTTAGAGATGCTGACCGCCCCCCCCCACCTCGACGCACATGCCTCGGCCAGTGGTAATAGGGAGCAAAAAGCCTCGTTCTCCCGCCCCCCTGTAAGCCCCCGTCCTGACGGGTGTCCTTGCGCCGCTCTCGGCACTCTGTCGCGCTGCGAGGGGGCCACCCAAGTTCCCCACACAATTAAGGCTTGGACACGAAACACTGGGAATCATCAGCCGAGTGTGTGTGCGTGTGTGTGTGTGTGGGGAGGCGGTTAGCCAGACAGCAGAAGGCCGCGACGTGAAATCAGATTGCACACGTCGCCCACTCTCTCTGGGCTGGGCGGGGAGGAGAGAGATGATCCGGGTGGATGAGGGGGTCCGCTACTCTTTAATTGCGTTCTTTATTGCAGCGGGAAGGGCAAGGCGAGACTGTCTGACGCATTCTTTGCGCGGAGTTGCGCATTGAATACCTGCCTGGGAGAGATTAATGGAGCTGCATTGTTTTTCCTACATATGCATTTACGTTTGGCCATCTGTCTCGCATCTTGCTTGAAACAGGATCGGCACATACTGTATATATGTGTATCTGTGTTTACCAAAGTCAGCTGAATTTACTGGATCCATGCAAGATGGCTCTCAAAGCGCAGAACCTCAGTCGTTACTCTGTCTGCCTCACATGGACGAGTCTGCGCTGCATCTGTGCTGGAAGGGGGCCCTTAACCTTGGAGTGGAAACTCTGTTCCCCATGTTTAAACAATTCCGTCTCCACTGGGCCAAATTTCTGGGGCTGCGCGATGGGGGAGTTTTTTTGGGGGAGGGTTCCGGCAGCATTCTAAACGGCCCACCTGGATCCCGGCCCTCATTTTATGGACGGGCAAAGACACTACGGTCCACTGCCCTACAACGTTAAAATCTACATCAGGGTGCTACAGAGGGGCACAGATGGTTAAATGCGACAGATAAACAAAATCCAGGTCGTTAACACGCTTTAAAAATCACTCTGAATGCATTAACACATAGGAACGCAATTTTTCGCTACATTCTCTCACAAAATACTTTAATCAGAGGTAAAGAAACTAAATGCTCGATGCCTCTCTAACACATTCGTTCTATTTCTATTTTAATACACTTGACCATGCTGTTAAGGTGCCGGAATATTCCGTTTACATTATGTCAGCATTCTGCTCTGATGAAGGCCCATGGGCGAAGTGTTCTCAGGCTCCACGTTAGATAAATGGAAGTGATACCAACTACGTAGTGCCTTACTCTCGAATAAATAACGGCGACAGAAATGTGCTCCATGGCACTTAGTTGTTAATGCGATTCCCCTAAATTCGCCTTATTGGTGTTCATCGGCGGTCCAGGAACGCCCTACGCATTCAACAGCACTTTCAACCTGGAGCTGCGTCTTTTGTCTCAGGTGTTTGTAATTTATGTGGGTCAGGACGCTATCATCCTCCCTCCTGCTACAATCCAATTTATCAGAAGTTCTTTCATAACTCATCAAGCTGTGAAGGACAATCCACCCCCTGAAGCTACGCAAATCAGCCCACTGTACGCCATTTTTTTTCTTTTTTCCATTTCTCTTTTGTTTACCGTAAACCACACCCCCACCCCATTCCTGTATTTCTCCAGGATTTCAAATGCATCCAGTACATACTGTAACGAGTTGGGATGTGTGTGTGTGTGTGTGGGGGGGGGGGGGGGGATGATGGAGATATACTCCCACTCATACACACACACAGATGCCAGCTTTTCCGTAAAATTCGATAACACCCCGCTAGGTCTACAGGTGTTAAAAGAGTTGTTAATGACAGGTGGAAGGACACTTTCATATTTTTAACCCGTCATGCAGCTCCGTTAATATTCCTAGGCGAAGAATTTAGCACTCCCCCCACTACTGAGCTAGTACATATGTCACTGCTTTGGCTGAGCTTGCATGCATGCTGTCGTTTAAAACAGTCCACGACCTTGCGCACACAGTGTTGATAAAGCTTCTTTTTTGCCTCACTGACTGACAGATTAAACGTATCTGTTCTTAAAATAGTGTTTATTGTCATTTAAATTCCAAGTGCTGTAGTCAGACTCCGGCAGCTAGGCCTCTAAGATGGGATGTCAGTCGCTAAATGTGTCTAGTAGATGGGAGTAGATGGGATAGATGGGAATTCTGTACTCTGTGTCCTCCTTCTTGCCAGACTCTAACCAAGATGGCTAACCTGGCCCAGGATGTACACAGCTGGGTCTTATCCAAACCCCCAGTCCATCGCTTGCCTTCAATTGGATTGGGCGAGCGTGCAAATTCCGCGGCCTGCGTCGGCGGGCGGCCACAGCAACGTTTCCTCTGTGCGGTTTCTGAGTCTCCGAGATAAATGAACGCTTGAGAGATAGCGACCACATTAAGGGTAAAAGGAAGGGTCCCTATTTGTGACTTCAAAGGACCAGAGTGGCGCAAGAGTAAAAGCAGGCCTTCCGGGAAAGAGTATGAAAGAGAGCCAAGGGGTTGTAAATATCCTCCGTCTGTGCTAATCGCACGTTGCTAACTGCGGGGCGGGCAACTCGGGCGGACAGACGCCTCCGTGTCCCTTGATATAGGAGCTCAGATGGATGTAACTGCTGACTGCCACTTTCACAAGGCCGCTGCACATGGCTTAGAGGACGCGGGTGCGTCTCTGCGATGGCTCACCCCAGGAGGACCAGAGCCAAAGAGCGAGTCAGAAATACAGGTGTAAGTCACGGTTGGATGGACCTTCTTCCAGATACCCAGCAATGAATGAAGGCAGATTCATTCTTGAACCATTTCTCTAGCATCACACATGGGTTTTTCTAAATGTACCAACAAACTCCTACTTCCTGCTTCCTGTTTTGCCCGTTTTATCCGATCAAATTCCTCTAGATTCAAACAGGTAAGCTTAAGGATAAGTCTTAAGCAGCAGATTCGAAACAATAATAATATTCAAATAAACAGATAATATAAGTCAATAAATTTAACAATTTCTACTAAAATTATCTTGCATTACGATGAAATGGCATCTACCGGCCAGGCAAGCATCGGACGTGACTGCAGAGATGAAAGTGTCTGCCAGACGCAGGAGGGAACGGGGCTGAAGAAGGTGATGTAGGGGAACGAGTACCCGAGAGACACAGTGCAAAGATCCTTTAATCTCCAGTGGAGGAGGAAGGAGCTGCAGCCAATCTCACAGAGGGAGGGAACACAGTAGCATCACAGGCTGAGGAGGGAGTGTGTGTGGAAAGTAAAGAAAGAGGGAGGAAGGGGGGGAAAAGAAGGTGGACTTTCTCTGATATAGAACTACGGGGGACAGGAGCGAGTGTAGGATCCTTTAAGGTGGGGCCAAAATTTATACATAGGGGCCAACTTTATCATTAGGCAAAGAATATATTTTGAGTGACATTGGAAGGGGCACTCCGGGGCCCAATCAGCTTTCAGCTGGGGCCAATGCCCCTGTGGCCCCACCCCCATATACACCCCTATTAGAGGAGAGGCATATCGCTGCAGCCAGGAGCCGAATGTCGAGTGGGAGGGGCCATGTTGAGTAGGAGGGGCCATGTCGAGTAGGAGGGGCAATGCTGAGTAGCAGGTGCAATGTAGGAGGGGTTTATAACTGTTATCATCTGATACCCCAACCATAACTCTAACCGTAAACCCCTCCTACCCCTGGTGATAAACCCCTCCTACTTGACATGGCCCCCCTCCCACTCAACACTTGGGTCCTGGCTGCAATGATATTTACTTGTATTAGAGGACTCTTATTGTTTAGAACCACTGTTCTTTTATAGACATGGCATTCTTCCTTCTCCCCTTGGAATCACAGTTACCATATATTTACTTACCCAGATTGCAGTTTCTCTCCATCCATCCTCCTCCTACAGCCCATCCTGTATTTCAGTGCAGGTGGTGTTTATTGTCGATTCATTTGTTCGTCAAGTAAACTCAACTGTGAGTCAAATGTATCAAATTTAATAGAAAGGGTATCCAAAGTTTATAGCTGTCCTCATGTCACCGGATTCCGGAATCTTCCCTAGAGAATATAATAATCCTCTCACAGCAAAGTAACTAGTTTGCACCTTCTTACATTAATGCTACTTCTACATTGTTGTGTGTCACAGATATTAGACTCGCTCTTTTCTCCCTGTAACATTGCTAAAAGCACCGCCTCTGCCCCCAGTCCCTAACTATGCTTTCTCATCCCCTTGTTGCCATGGGACTATGAATAGAGTTCTTTGTCCGGCAGAATGCAGCCATTTAACAGCCCTCCCCAAGACCAATTTACACTGCTCATCACTCTGTAAATACTGTACACACACAACCCCCCCCCCAATTCCCAGAGCCATTACCTCCCAGCCCCCTGCTCTGGTTTGCAATTCATGGGATGGGGATTTCAGGTCGAATGCTTGAATAGGGTTCGTGTTTGTTCTTATTTTCGTAGTGGACACCCTCACAATGCAACGCACGGCTGTTTTTGTAACCTGCTAATTAAACAGTCGAGGCAAGGTGAACCTGCACAGGACTACAACAGCACAGTGACTTTGGGATTCAAACCCAAAATGATCCTCATTTATCTTCTGATAATCCTATTTTCTCTGGATTCTATTGCACATGTGATAAAACTTCAATAATAATGCCATTAAAAAGAATGCAAACAACCAACCTTTAATTGCCGTGCCTTTTCATAAAATTATGCAAAGGAATTTTGTGCACATTTATGTCACTTTGTAATTCTTGATGAGTCTTTCCTCTTGAATTGAACCTGGCTGGCAGACTCACTTTCTGGCCAAACGGAAAAAATAAACCTACATCCCTTGAATGTTGCAGGAAACTAAAGGTAAATGTGGACTGATTTATATAGGCAAAACCACAAGGCTTCAGTGTAATTCAACACAAATATATTGGTTACAGCTTCATGGGGCTGGTTGTGTATTCTTTCATGATAGATAGCTCTCCGATATGTATATTATGTTTCCTTTGTGGCAGGAGCTGTACTGAGGCTTACACAATTCTTGCTAAAACCACCCGTGTTCAGTCAAAGAGCCGTAAGAGTCAAAATACACTTTGAATGGGATAGCCCATTGTGTGAAATGCCACCCTCTGGTGGCGGAAACTGGATCTGCAATCTTCTCATTAGCTGTGATGGGGTTCCCTGCCCTTGCAACAAATCCCCTGGCTACGACTACGCATCACAGAGCCGCTCCATTGCTGCCACGTCTTCCAGAAAATGCAGTACAAGCACATATCGGCATGTACCAGGGACGCGGAGATTCTACCGAAGGATAAAGCACAACAGCGAGGCTCGCGGTTAATGAAGCTAGCTGACGGGCGACACTTGTTGTCGTGTTATCAGTATGAGAGGCTGAATGCGAGATTTGCACCTGCCTATCAATGTGCAGGATGCATTTGTCATAACTATAAAAAAACACAGGAATCTGTGCTGATCTAGCCCCTGCTAGGGTGCAGGAAGGAAAAGCTATTAGTCTTGGATGACAGAAAAAATCCTCCGGGGCTTTATTCACCATTCGCGAGCCACCGTTCAGCGCGTTAGGCCCCCTGGATGTGACTCACTTTGTGTATCGCTGTGTTGTGGGTAGGGCTGTGACTCACAATGTGTGTGTCCTTGCTCATTCGATAAGGGATCTGGATGTGCTTCAGTGCCTCTGTACCTTGTGTGGTATATAATCGTCTTTTTTATATGGTCCACTGTTTGTGTCTCTCTGTGTTATTTTTCTTTATGACGGAAACATGAGTTGTTAAGACCCAATTAACAATTTCGGCCCCACAGTACAGAAGAATTATATTTATATATATCGTAATAATAATCAATGACTTTGTTAAGCAGAAGAACAAGAACAAGAACATTATAAAATTTTAGTATTAGTCCTCTAAGGAAGTATGCCCTCAATAATATTAAGTAATTCAATGCTAATTTGCATAACATAGATCATATTGCATAACAGACAATTGAATACTGAGGTATGTGTGTAGTTGGGCATATTTAATGAAATGATAGGTAAAGCAGGGTCCCTTCTGACACCTGGTGCCCAGTTCACAGTAACCTCAGGCACCTTCTCCTCCAGCAATGTTCTGCTCAAAGTGTTCCTGAACCTGGGCGCTTGGTGTTTCTTTCCCCGTGACTGAACTTGCCACCCATGGCTGCTTGCAGCAATTTCCAAGGCGCTCTTAGGTCAGTAAGAGGCATCTTTTGGAAAACGTCAACTTTCTTTTTCTTTTCGCTATTTTGTCTGTCCCCCGTAAAATAACTGTTCTATTTTGTGGAAGATCTAAGTGTTTTTTTCTAACTCTCGGTGGGTGTCACATGGTCAGTATTGTCAGTTTGATGGCAATACATTTTTCCCATAAGCCATTTTCTGGAGTCGAAAAACACAGCGACACAAACACACACACATGCACACACACACATGGATGCTCTGATCATCAGGTCACTTTTCACGCATTCAAACAGAAAAATCATCTTTCTTTCTTTCTTTCTTTCTTTCACCAATGAGAACTGTCAAAGAACACTTCAAAAAACATCAGGTCAATTGATTCAGCTCACTCAGAATCTGTTTCGGTGAACACTAATTTATTGCCTTCACTTCCAGCAAAGTCTAATCTGTTAACATGAAGACGTGCTGAAGCAACAGTGTTGGCAAGGAGCCGAATTGGATGTAGTGAAAGACAATAGAATGACAGGTGAAAATTGAGCCCAAAACTGCCCCGTGTGTTTGCCATTGCTTTGGCAATAGATCAGGCAATATTTCATACCGAGTCTGTCACTAGAAGTCTTGTTTCTTGACAGAGATGAAAATAAGAGTAACAAAATTCAATTCAAGCGACAAATGCTGAGTCCTAGCAGGGTTTTTACTGGAAAGATGAAATGTGTGCGGACACTTGAGATATCAAACATGCTTAAGGAGTATCCAAATACGTTCTCTCACTGAAGCCCCTTAAATATATGCCGGGAGTCATCCTTAATAATTTTTAATAAATGCACTACATGCTTTGCACAGTTTCCCAAGCACAGGGGTGCACAGATCAAGCTTCTCATAGCCAGAGTTCTTTTGGCTCTAAAATTTTTGATTAGCAGATGATATGTGACTAGTTGGTATGTATTAAATATTAAGCTTACTGGATACTGCATACACATGAGTTGTGATCTGTGAGGTACTGCACAAGTCACCTTTAAGATCTAAGGGAACGTGATACAGTCCACAGTGGATTATGGGATAAATTCGATAAGCCTGGATATACTTTATTTGCCATTGGTACAAAGAATTCTTTGGTTTCTTGCATGTCCCATCTTGCTCTCCATGAGACAGACAGTTTTAGGGGCACATTTCTGGGTCCGGACCCATGTCCTGCACCCTTGTAGCAGTTGCCGTTAAGGGCTTTGATCAAAGGCCCAACAGTGATAAGACTACTAATGACTAATCAGCAGGCTGACTGTTAGAATAAAATGCCCTTATTGTCATTGCACACAGCAGGTACAATGAAATACTATGTTTTGTGGGAACTAGGCTGCAGACCCAAAGAAGTATTCTTTTCAGGAGCTGTGTGCTCAAGGAGACTATAAAGCTTAAGGAGATTAAATGTGCAGCTAAAGTCTTAGCATAGAAGGGAGTTTAGGGGGCACTAGGAGACCATCTGGAACAGGAGAGGAGGCAATTCTAGGATTTTTTAAGGTTAAGGGCATGAGAGGGACCATAACTCATAGAGAGGAGCCAACATTGTCATTAGCCAATGTTGTGTTTTAAATTGGTGAGTGACAGGGGAAGGGGCACTCCAGGGGCCAATCAGCTTTCAGCTGGTTTTTACCCCTTTGGCCAATGCCCCTGTATATGCCCAGCACCTGGACACGCCCCTGAACAGGCTCAACCTGGAACACATCTGAATTACAGTGGTGTGTGTGTGTGTGTGTGTGTGTGTGTGGGGGGGGGGGTCTGAATGTTTACAGCTGGATACTAGGGGAGGATATTAATGGGGAGGCGGATTTGAGATGTGTAATTATGGTAATGATAGACATCTTTGAAATAAAATGTAAGTTGACAGTGATGTTGTAAAGGCAACCAGGAAATGACCAGAAATCAAAAACTGGAATGAGTAAATGATTTTGTATAGACTAATCAAGAAGGGAGAGGCCTTGGAGTATACATGCAAAATGCATTTTTGGGTAATTAATTTATGTGTCCTATTATTGGATCATTTGCTATTATCTTACTGCTGAAGGTGTTTGGCTGAAATAACTGTAGCCTGTCAGACTCAGATACTGGGTGTAGTTGGGCAGATAATGAGATCAGAAAAATGTGCAGCTTGTGTTAGATACCGGTGTGTGAGATACCGGTAATGAGTAAGTTCAATCTCCCCTTTCTTTGAGGTAGGATACCAGGGTTATATGAAATATGTGTGTGTGGCCGGATTTGCCGAACCGACTGCATAACGTAACACCTGAAAGTCTCCTACCAGAGGCGATAAAATTATCCGGTGATAATCGAGACGTGATACGGAAGATGGCAGACTGTGACTGCAGCACGGCGGAGCTTGATAAAAAAAATAAAAATTCTGTGCTCATTTAGGGGGAAAAAAAAAGTTTCGGAAAACAAACAGTGAGAAATGGAACCAGGAGATAGATTTGTGGGAGACGATTTTCCATAGACATTTAGCATAACATACCTCTTGTCACGAAATCAGAAACAAGAGATGAGCAGAAAAACACGGGAAAAGGCAGTAAGTGGGTTTGCATGCTGGGCTCAGGCTGTTTTGTTTTCTGTCTTCTGTTTGACGGTCTCCTTTAGTTCTTTCGCCTTTTTTGGGATGGCCTGTTAAAGGGGCCACAGTCCCTTTTTCTGTTTGGTTTTTGTTAATAATGTTTGGTTTCGCTTAAACCAGCTCTCCTGTGCCTTGGTCCTAAACCTCCTTACTGTCGGCCAGGGTTTATCTTAAACCGATAAATCTCAGGGTATTACGGCATTATCCCGGCAGTGGGAGAGACAGGGTTATTTTTTTTTGTATGCTGCTGTTTAGCTTAGTTTGGAAATCTTTAGAGATCAGAATAGATCTGCAAACTGGAAGTTGCAGGGTAAAGATCCAGTCCTGCCAATATTAATGATTTTGCCAGACGACGAGTAAAGTTAC